GTGTTGACTTCTTACCCAAATCCTGTGCCCATTTAGGTTTTCCATGGAGATCCCAACATGTATCTTTCGTGTGTCGTGTCTTCTGGCAGTGTGTGCACCAAAGTTTTCTCTTATCATCTGGTTTTTTTCTGAGTGTCACCCTTTTTAAAACCACCTCCGACATTTGTATCTGAATTTCCCCGGACAGCTAGGGAAACTGACTCCCTTCTACACGATTCATCACACTTCTTTTGCTTTCTTCTGATTGCACCAAGGCATACACCTCCTGAACTGATGGCAAGTCTTTACTACCCAAGATCTGYACCCTRATGGACTCATACGAAGGATTCAGCCCTAGGAGGAAGGCAAAMACTCGTTGCTGAGATACAAGTGACTTATAGGCCTTTGCATCTTCATCACACTTCCAATTCACATTCTGATARTGATMAWGTTCTTTCCATATTGATGTCAAATCAGAATAGTACATTGAGAGACTCCTCTCCCCCTGCTTGCAAGTAGATGATTCAGCTTGCAGTTGATATATCTTGGCATAGTGTGTCTGCTCTGAATAGGTGGACTTCGCTTGTTCCCATATCTCACAAGCAGTTTCAGCCCACATAAAAGTCTTCCATGTGGCAGCATTGAAACCAAGAGCCAAGATATCACCATTACTATTCTCTTGGTTCCACCTATCATACTCAGCACTTCCATACTTCGGTTCCTTCACTCTCCCATTGATGTATCCTATTTTCCCCCTAGTAGTGATGTAGAGTTTTATTCCCCTAGACCACTCAAGGTAATTCAGACCATCAAAGGGAATAACAACCATGTGAAAGCTCATATCCGTTCCCCCACTCACTCCATTGTGGCTCTCTGAAATCTCTGAAGTAGCAGAATTCTCAGTTGACATGGTCAAACAGATAATCAGTCCCAAACACCGGACTTAGGACTCCTTACTCCACAAAACAATGCTCCACTCAGTCCACACCCACACACTTGGGTTTAAAAACMAGGTTGAGCACAAACAGTACCAAATTCAGGACAAAACAGAGGTAGTATTCGGTAGATTTCAGACCTGTACAGTTTTAACAGTCCCAACCTACTAGAATTCCAGAATGTCTAACAGCCACTAATCAGCAGGGGAGATCCTTATCACTTATAATCAAATCAAATCATTGAGATGACAGGTCATCCTTGACCTACAGTTGTCTTAACACATGAACAAGATCACACGATCCAAAAAAAACAGGGGTATACAGGTTCAACAGCATTCAGCCGCCCAGACTTATATGGTTTTCACTCGGCACATGACCAAGGAGGGTAAAGAAGAGAAAACAGGGAGAACTGTACCAGTTGTAGAGCTGTTTTTTCAGTCCAGAATCAGATTTCTGTTCCGCCCAGGTTCAGCAAGTCTGTTCGATCTGTTCTCTCAGTAAGGTTGTTCAATCTGCTCTCTTTAATCAGTATTCCCGCTCTGATACTATCTTGACAGTATGACCGTCCAGAAATAAGAGGAAGAGAAGAGAAGAGAAGAGGAGAAGAAGAGGAGAGAAGAGAGAAGGGTTTTGCAATGTAACAGTGCTGGTGGCGCCATCCTTTATTTTAATATATATAGGGCGGCATAAATAACAAGGGAAAAGACTCTTGTGCCCTTGAGTACAATAATAGACATAACAAAAAGGAAAAAAACGAAATAAAAAACACTTTAACTAGCAAACAGACCCTAACATTAACAACTAAATTATTTTAACATATCAAATCCTTTTTACCAACTTACTGGTTCTGTTTTCACTTTTTACTGATTATGTAAACTCTCTTAAGTACTGTACAACCTATTTTATTTTGCAAACCTAAACTAAATCTCAAACTAACAAGCTGAGGGCTTTGTGGTCTGATGTTTGTGTCGGATTAAAAAAATCATAATTGAACTACAATTTCTACATCCAAGTTAATATGACTATAGTTACTGTAATCATTCATGGAGAGAGAGAGACGAGAGAGAGAAAGAGAAGAAGAGGAAGATATGATTGAGAGAAAAGGAAAAAACTCCTTCTGGCTGCCGCCAGTTCATTATTTATATTAACTTAATATAAAAAGAATGGAAATTACAAGTATGCCCCTGACAGCACTCCCTAGAAACAAACTAATAAGAAAGAAAGAAAATAACTAACTGACTGCATCTTAAACCCACTAACAACAACTATCAAATAACAATTAAATAATCCTCACAACAGTTACCTAACTCAAATGTATAAACTTATATCTACTTCATGATTTGAAAAATAAAAAATTAATTCTTGGCCCATAGGTGCAGGGGATTCTACCAAGCCGAGATCTTTCATTACTTCAGGAACTGTGGTTGGTGTTTGCCTTAGGCCTTACCACACCAAAAATTGAGGGGGATGGTGTCTTTTGAGGGGGACTGTTGACCCGTCCGAACCGTCACCTGGCCCTTTTTCCCGGTTCAGTTTTCCTAAAAGCCGCAAATTTGTCAAAAACCATTGGCTTGGTCAGAGACCCACTGACCTGGGCGGTTGAACTATTGACCCATTTGACCCGGTCACTGGGTCATGGGTTACACACTTCAATGTATTGAAACTTTAGGAGGCCATATCTTTGTGCTCAGTTGTTGGACTGGGGTGATCTTTTTTTTTTTTTTTTATTTTGGATATCTTTTCTGGGTCTACACATTCCAAGGCACCGATGCCCCATATTTTTGTTTTTTGGCCTTAAATTTCATTTTTTTAATCTTTTTTGTTTATAAAAATTAAAAACTGAAATAAAATTAAAAATGTTACCTAATATTAACCATATATGCATACATATGTCATGTGTAAAATATAATTATACATTATTTATTGATATAATACATGTTTATACATGTGTGTGTGTGCTGCATTTCACAGTCTGACCCATTTGACCCAGACAGTTGAACTGCTGACCAGTGACCTGGAGACAAAAAATTGTTCAGCCTCTGGGTTGGTTTTTAAAACATTGGTTTTTTATGAGGGAAACTGGACATTTGGCCTCAAGAGCCAACATTTCGTTCCATTGGGTTTGAAGATCGGCCGACCTTTTAGCAGACTGTTTAGCTAGAGAAGAAATTTAATTTGAAGAGTTGTATTTGGGGTTAGCCCTCCCTTTAGCACATTTTTATGCATTTCTTTATGTTAAAGTTGGTTAATTCTGATTTCTGATTGAGTAAATTTGTCATTTTGGCTGACTGGTTTTTGAGCATGAAGTCAGTTTCCAAACTATGATTCTATGAAATGTGAGTGCATGATTTGAATAAGGTTTTTGCTATATTAGGATCAATTTAGAAAATGTTGGTTTATCCTCTACTTAAGAAGATTGCAAACATGTCCCTGTATCAACAATTCAAAAGCTTGTGATATTTCCCTGTTGAAGCTGGTTCTGTTATATGTTACCACCTTTGTCCTACAAAGATAGTTCTCTTTGTGTTTTTTAAATCCACAGTAGTTGTCAGTTGTAGAAATAAATGGATGGAGTTTTCTTACTTTTCCACATTACCATTTGCAAAAGTTTTGGAAGTTGGCCTTCTTCTTTGTTTTCTCCATTTTTATGGTTATTGGCCTTCTACAATTTATTTAATTATTTCTAATTGCAGACTTGTATAATACTCGCTCAATTATTTTTCCTCACCCTTTTCTTATTAAAATAGATTTGCAGTTATCAAAATAAAAAAAAAAGATTTCCACTAATTTTGGTATTTCATTTTTCCTAATTTGGTTCTGAATTGCAGGCAAGCAAAGGATGCCTTGAAGACTCTTAAGAAGCGCCTTGGGAGTAAAAATCCCAAAATACAACTTCTTGCTCTCTTTGTAAGATTTATTTTCATTGTTTTATGCATTTGAAGGATTTTTTTTTTTGGTCATGAGATTTATGTTCAAAATTGTTGATGTCTTATAGACCAGAAACATAATAGTGTACAATGTTTTTTTATATATCTTTATTTGGGGGTGGGGCAGTTTTCCATTGCTGTATCATGAGATGGTAATTTCCTTATTTGTGAATTTTGGATTGACTGGACTACTAGTACTTTGCCAAACAACTATGATACTGTACAATATCTTCTTTGAAGTAACAGAAAACAATGCTTTCTGAAACCACAAATCCAGATACTGATGAGCATATTGATGAAGTTCAAGCAGTTCTAAAAGGAGCAGATTAGCTTTATATTCTGGTCCTATAGGTGTGCGAGATTCAGTCAATGCGGAAGTTCAAACATTCTAAAAGGAGCAGAGATTGCTAAGGAGATGGCAATGGAACACTAATCATTGAAGGCGACTCTAAACTGGTTGTCGGGTGGTTAAAAGAGCTGGAAATGGCAGCATGGTCCTATAGAGGAGCTTTGAGAAGGTTCAGATAGTCAACGTCAAATATGACGGTCACAATTCAATGGGAAAGAAGATCGGCAAATGGGTTGGCAGATTCTTTAGCCAAACAAGGGGTACATAGGAAGCAGTTTTTATGGGCTCATTTGTAAGCTTTATGATATAGTTTAGAGGCGGCATCTCACGCTGCTTTGTGGGGATTTTTGTAAGATGTATCCTTTGTGCTGATTAATAAAATAACCCTTATCTATCAAAAAAAAGTGGAATAGATATTTAGGGTGGAGTAGGAGATGATGTTTCTGGAATTTTTTTTTTCTTGGGGGGGGGGGTAAGGGAGGTATTGAATTTTATTGTTTTTGAAAGGATTGAGTTGTGTGAATCCCGTGTTAATGTTTATTACTGTGTCCTGTTTGAAGTGACTGTGGTTTTGTGGTTGGGATGCACTCCGATTAGATGATGCTTCTGAAGCTTTTCACGGGGAGTTGGGGGAGGTATTGAATTTTATTGTTATTTCTAGAAGGGTCTAGTTGTGTAATGTTTATTATTATGTCCTGTTTGAAATTGGGGGTTGATGTGTCTTGTGGTTTTAAGTGTCAACTATGTGTATCTGTTCTATTGGTATCTTGTAACATTGGGAGGTGTCTGTTTATTCTTATGTGGAGGTTGGCGTGCATTTCCATTAGTTGGTTTAGAAGGTTATCTATTGTGGAGATTGGTTTTGGAATGGAATTTTTGTTTTCTTGTGTGTTTGGTTGTTGTCTCCTTGGTGATTTCTTATCACCTACTTTTGTGTATATGTTTCTATTTTTTTTTGATAAGTAACCATCAATTTTATTAATTATAAAACAATAAAATATACATATTTACAAGCACCCTTTTCAGAGGTACATAGATTAGCTCTCCCCTTTATTTTCACTTACAGAAGACTATACTTTATACATTCTTTTTATTTTAATGAACTTTCTCCTAATTAGATCAAGCATGAACAGTAATATTTATTGCATTCTCTTCAAATCCATGAAGAAGTATTTCACAATACTTAAACAAAGGAAGGAGAATAAAGGAAAAAAAAATCTAAGAATAAGGAAAAGAAAAGAAAGAAGAGCAATTTGAGGCTATTTGTCCCTTCTCCTAAGTCCTAACAAAATAGCCCTAAGTTTACAAAAGGTTTTTGGAAGCTGTCCAATGTGTTTTATATTGAAGGCATGTAGATATGAAATGATATGCAAGTGGAACCTCGGCCTGTCGAGATTGGCTCACTTCCTTCATGAGATCCATGATCGCTTGACTGTGCTGAATTATTCCTTCAGATGGATCCCAAGAGATGAATCTGGTGGCTGATTCTGGGACTTTTTGTATAGTGCTAATACTTCACCTCTGTAATTTTTGGTTTTCTTGGGGCCTCTTACTCTCTGATTGTACATCTCCTCATGTATATGCCCCCCTGCTTTGCCTTCATTGGAAATGAATAGTTACTTATTTTTTTTTTTTTTTAAAAAAAAGATATGAAATGATAGGAGGGGGACATCTGGAAAAAAATAAAGTAGTTGGAATAGTTTTATTACACTTCTAAGCCATGTAACCATCCAGCATAAACAACAAGAGATGCCACCAATTGTATCATCACTTCCTTTATATGATTCAGTTTGCACTGACAGATCCTATCTTAAAAGTTTGTACATAACGAGTCTGAAAATTGATAGGTACGTTGAGTCTGAAATCTTTTCAAAACTTGGACTGTGGTCCTGCGGATCAGAAGTAAGATATGTACTGGTCTTGAACTGGAGACTGCAATGACAGAAAATCTTGATCCCCCCTTGTTTTCCATTCTCTGCTCTTCTAATGAGTATATCAACATTAGGAAAGTAACTGCTGCATAGCAGACTCATATTGTAATGGATAAACAAGTAGTGATTGAAGAATGCTTTCATTGAGGTCCCCATGTTAAATGTTCATTGAGGTCTCTATTTTTGATCTTCAAAGGAATGCAGTAAACTTTTTATATTCCAAACATGTGTACTTTACTACCCCCTGCAGTTTCAGAGTTGCTGAGGAAGGAGAGATAACCTTGTATTTCATGGAAGTGCCTTCGGTAATCCAGGTGAAGCAGGAATTGTAGGTGTTTTTAGAAGAAGAGATGGCAACGTTAGTTGGGCTTTCAGTGGACCGATTGGGATGGCCTCTTCAACAAAGGCTGAAATCTTGGCAGCCTTAACTGGTATCCGGATAGCAAGAGATCTGGGTTATTTGAATATCACCACAAAGGAGACTCCGCTAATATACTATTAATTGGTTAACTGATCCTGGTGGTGGCTCCTAGGCTTTAGCTCATTACTTGTCTGAAGGGAGAGACATCCTTTCTACTTTGAATGCACATTTGGGCTGGGTTCCTAGGGAGCTAAACACTGTAGCTGATAGTCTGGCAAAGGCTGGTGTTCACAGTGATTACCTTTGTAGCGACAGCTCTCTTCCTGTATAACTCTTTGAGCCCTTAGCTTTTTTTTGTACATCTTCTCATGTACTTTTGCTTCCTCTGAATAAAGTTAACTGTTTTCTCAAAAAAAAAAAAAAAAAAAACTTAGGGGCTTATGCCTAATCAGGGATGTACATGAATGGTTGAATGTTCATTTTTTGAACCCTTTTAAATGACATACTGTAAAGAGACTGTGCCGAATGGGTCCTAGTATCTTCTCTTGTAATATCTTTTCTTTTATTGTTGGCTAATGGGCCTCTCTTAATGGRCCTGTTAGTTATTTCTTTTTTGTTTAATCTCTTTATGTTACTGCCTAGCTGGCCGCCCACTTAAGGGCATACTTATCATTACTCTAACTTTAATTCTTAATAAAAAAAGGATTAGGGGAGAAAGGGAAGATAATTCGATTCTTCTTCTTCTTCCTTCTCTTTTCGCCAWCTTCTTCTCTTGTGTTGTTGCTCTTACTTCTCTTCTTCCTTTTTCTTCTAATCTTCAAATTTACACCTAATATTTGAGGACTGATTTACATCTTGGTATCAGAGC